TGGATGCAACGTGCACAGAATCCAGCAGGAATAAGCAGCAGCATTAACATCTGCAGCTGTGTTCAACACTGGGAGGGAAATTGAAAAGAATTTAGAAATTCCAAATTCCATAATTGATATCGCTTATCGATTCTCATTGGCTCCGCTTTGAGACCATCTCTGAGGCATCAAAGACTTTACATCCTGGACGGTCAAATGTTTGTGGGTGCTGGAAGCGTTTCCCCTCTTTGTTGTGATCATTACTCCAAAAAGTAATTATTGCACATAGAACACTTTTCTTAAAAGTAATGACGCACCTTACTTAATTACACCCAGGAGAAAGACATTTGTTACGTTACTCGTTACGTTACTTTCGTTTTACTCTTATGATGTTGTAAAATGATCTGAAACACACTGCTGTCTGATAATAAACCCAGAGGCCATAGCCGCACACACGATTCTACTGTAGAAACATGAGCAGGCAGAAAGCTGCAGCCTGACTGCTCATCACTTTGTTATGTTTGTTTTAACGTACCGAGCAGTACATGGCCAGGCCCCAGATGATTTATCCAGGCTTCTCACAAAATACACTGCTGCTCGTTGTCTCTGCTCAGAAACAGAGTTTGTTGGTTGCTCCCCGAACACGACTGAAGAGGAAAGGGGGCGGAGCCTTTCAGTCTGTGGCACCAAGGCTGTGGAACAGTCTACCTCCACAACTACGTTTGGTTGACTCTGTGGAATCCTTTAAAAAGCAGTTAAAAACTTTACTGTTTAAACAAGCCTTCGGTTGACCAACGCTTTTTACATTTTGAATTTACATTTAACCTCTTATATTGTGTATATTGTGCATTTTGCAATTTATCGTACTGTTTATTTTAATCTTTGTGTACAGCGCTTTGTGACTACCTGTCTATGAAAAGCGCTTAATAAATAAACTTTACTGACTTACTTACTTACCTGTTCAGGTGCTGGTCTGGGGTCAGCTTTAACGTCACTCTGGGTTCTTGGCTAGCTTAGCGTTAGCATGCTGCCGAGTATGATGCAGTTGTGTCTGTCGTGGAGCAGTCTCCACTTTACTATCGCGCTCTCATCCTTCTGTGTAGTGATGGGCAGATGAAGCTTCATGAAGCACTGAAGCTTTTCATCCAATTGGTTCACCCCAGTGCAAAGTGTCTTGAAGCTTCATTTGCTCTAGTAGGACATCTACTGGATGTAAAAATATTAGTTGGCATGAATTTGAAGAGTGTGGCCTTTTGCACACAGCCTGTAAATGTCAACAACAAAAGGAGTGTGTAAAACATCTATATTGCAGTGATGGCAGCATACTGTGTATATTTATACTGGCAGTATGAAAAATGATCATTTGGAAATGCTTAAAATGGAAATGATCATTTACTGTGAGGTGAGGTGTGGTTGGGGTGTGGACAGTGGTTGTGCTTTGTAACGTTGAGGTATGGACAGCTACACACTGAGGCTTTGAGCCTCAGTCCTGCCCACATTTCATTCTCTAAAAACTAAATTTTCACTGCTTTTATGACCTTTTTAGTGGGGATAACATTTTAAACATTTAATGATTTAACAAATCTTTTGAATCCTTTGTCCTCCACAATGCTAAATGGCTGGGAGTCCTCAATCACCATGCTAACCAGGTCTTCATCTATTTGAGATTGTTCTCCTGAGGAAAGACAACAAAAACAAAGCACAAATATAAATATCACACACGTAACTTATTACAGTTGTATAATATTGATATATCATTTAGTAACATTACAGCATGCTATATTATCGTGGCATTTGATGGCTCACCTGGTCTTGCTCCATAATCGGTGTTCCCCTTATTCTCATGCAAAGCTCTGTAGTGCCTAAGCATGGATGAGGTGTTGTTGTTATATCCCAGCTCCACATAGCAAACACTTCACCTTGTACAAAAGTAAAGCTGCTTAACATAAATTGTATTGCACCATCAGTATTATGAAAAAACATCTTCTGTAGAAATTTACATACCTTGTTGGGAGTAATAAGATCAAAATGTTCTCACACAGGGAAGGACATCCTCCTCTTCTTAGCTGGCTCCATTCTCTCCTAACTTTCTCTCCTCACTACTCGACACAAGTAGTGATGGGATTTCCGGCTCTTTTTAGAGATCCGGCTCTTTCGGCTCGACTCACTAAAAAGAGCCTGCTCTTTCGGCTCCCAACGGGCTCTTCAGGTTGTTTTGTTGCTTCAATTAATTTATTATTAACAATAATATAAAATTATGCACAAAAGGAATTACTAATGTAAAAAAAAGAAGTTGTTTTATTTATATATATGTTTATATATAAATATATGCGGTGGCCCCTAGAAACAAAGCACGTATAAACTCCAAAACACATTTCTAGCATTAACTGAACTTCCAAAACAGAGCTACTAGATCACTTAAATGACTCCTTGGTCTTTGCCACGTTGAGCTGCAGAGCAGAATCATCTGCAGCTCAACGTGGCAAAGACCAAGGAACTGATCGTGGACTTCAGGAAGACCAGGAAACACTTGACCCCTGTTTCAATCCAGGGGGTCAGTGTTGACATTGTGGAGGACTATAAATACCTTGGAGTACACATTGACAATAAACTGGACTGGGCTAAAAACACCACAGCACTTTACAGGAAGGGCCAGAGTCGTCTCTATTTTTTGAGGCGACTGAGGTCCTTCAACATCTGCCAGAAAATGCTGAGAATTTTCTGAGTCTGTGGTGGCCAGTGCGATCCTCTATGCTGTTGCATGCTGGGGGAGCAGGCTGAGGGTCGCAGATGCCAACAGACTTAATAAACTGATCCGTAAGGCCAGCAATGTTGTGGGGATGGAGCTGGACTCCCTCAAGGTGGTGTCGGAGAGGCGGATGCTGTCCAAGATAAAGACAATGTTGGATAACACCTCCCACCCACTCCATGACATGTTGGTCAGTCACAGGAGCTCGTTCAGTGAGAGACTGAGATTACCGAAAAGCACCACTGAACGACACAGGAAATCATTCCTGCCTGTGGCCATCTCCCTGTACAACGCATCCACTTAACACACTGTTTGCTGCTACAGCTACACATGTTTCTTTTCCAAATATTTATTTATAAGTGACTTATGTATGTATGTATGTATGTATATATATGTATATATTGTACTATTCTTAGTTAGCGTATTGTCTGTCTTGTCTTAATGTTGGTTTAAAATGGAGCACTGTAACAAAAAATAATTTCCCCCAGGGATCAATAAAGTATTCTGATTCTGATTCTGATTCTGACAATTGAAAGCATGTGTGTATTGTTTGTGTATTTATACACAGGCACTCATATATATTCAAATAATTTAAAAAATGTTCATTTTCCTGTTACTACCACACACCAAATCCGGTCGTTGGTACTTCCTGGCTTGTGTAGCCACGAGGTAACAAAGCTCAACACTGCGCCCAGCATCCTGGAGCACTTCTGTTGTCTTTTGTACGTGTTTTGAGTTTTTATGTGGTTCTGAGTTTTTACGTGTTTTGGAGTTTGTACGTGCTTTGTCTGTAGGGACCACCATAAATATACTTTTATTTATTCACTCCACATAAAATGTAATAAATAAATCATATAATACAAAAACCAACTATTCACGGTTCAACTTTTAACTATTTAAATTTTCAGCTTTTTCCTTTTAAACATATTTAAAGTGTAACAACATTAAACACTGCAAACCACAACACAATTAAATATAAATTAAAAATATGAAAACAAAAAGAAGATGCACATTCTCTGTCATATGGGCCTGCATGAATAAACTTTCTGAATCCTTTATCATCCGCAACTGAAAATAGTTGTGGATGATTACTATACCTTTCTAATGTGACGTTGTTGTCCCTGCTCTCTTTCTCTGTCTCTCCCTTGGTAGTTACCTAGCATGTGTAACTACCGCGCCTCCCCCCTTCTTCCCAGCGCAAAGCACAAGGCTCACGAGTGGAGTGAAGCTGAAAAAAGTGTGCGAGAGAGAGGGTGAGAGAAAGAAAAAAAAAACATGGCCTCCCAATAAGGAGCTGGATCGCATCGTTCACTTCAAAGAGTTGGCTCTAAGAGCCGTTTCGTTCGCAACCGACACATCACTAGACACAAGCGTTGAAGCCTCGATACAGTCAGATTGAAGGAAATTGCCTTCCCGGGTTTCCTCCGTGGCGTGAGCGATAAGCAGAGTTCTGTCCTTTCCTTCTAAGATTCCTAATTATTTAAAGTAACACTCAGGTATGCCATTCAGCGTGTTAGTACGAGCTCGGGAGCAGCTTGGGAGAACAAGAAAACAGAGACTGCTTTAGGTTGCCTTCCCAATCGACTCAAAGGTTTATTTGATACACAGCAGTTTATATAGAGAAAAAAAGGTTCGTGTGTCAGCTTTCCCAGTTCAAACCGGTACAGACTAAATAAGGAAACGTCTTCCTGCCTTCTGAGCAAAGAAGTATCCTGTGTGTAGTTTATCAGTTCAGCTATAATTTATGATCATCCCAGCAAAATACACTCCTAGACATAAAATACAGAGTTCTTTCATTAGTGAATTCTGAAACAAACCACCTAGCCTTTAACGAGCCTTTTCCAGGAGATAAAGAAAAAGGGAGGATGGGAGTAAGGAAGTGGTCTCATCTCTGTGGTGTTTTCGACCTTGAGGTACCAGCTTGTGAGTCTTACACATTAATTCTTGGGTCACAGAGAAAGAGAAAAACAACTAGTAGATCGGCCTTATTGAGTAACAGTTTTCCTGTATAAAACAATATCCTGTAAATGCTACCGTGGTATCAAAATATCATAACACACATCACTACTTCTGTGCAGTAAAAATGAAATAAATGTCCGCATCCACGCTACAGACTGCGGCACGATTTCAGTTGATCGTAGCCAGAGTGCAAGAACTGACAGGCAGGCAGACCAACGACTCCAAGCACCTGGACTTCAGTAGTGAGCTTGATAGCTGTACACGTACATCCACACCAGCAGGTGGCAGTAATGCAGCAGTTCGTTGCTGAAGTCTGTGTTTGAAAAGTTTTCTTATGGCAAATAAGACCGGAAATGGGCTCAGCATGCCGGTGTGCTCGCGCAGTTCGGCATGGGTGCTCGCTACATTCAGCAAGAGTCTGTTCGCGCTGTCTCTCGGAAAGGCAGCGCTTAGCCGGCCAGGAAGTCCGCTGTTAGCACCAGCCGCAGGTCAGGCATCAACAAGAGGCAGCATGACAGCCACGGGCATGTCCCAGAGAATGGTGTGGGTGGACCTGGAGGTGAGTCACGTCGTGGGAACTGTGGTTATTGCTACAAGGCACTAAACGCTTTACTTAGCCTTTGAATGTAACGGTAAGCTGTGGAACTAGATGGCGCATATAGCGCTGGATGCTGGAATAGTTGTGTGAAGTGTCCAACGAGCTGTAGGCAGTCCACGCAGGAACATGGCACGCGGGTGTGCAGACTTGAGCTGCTGTTCTCAATCTGTCTGTGCTGTTTATAATGACGACTACGTGTGTGTGTGTGTGTAGATGACAGGGCTGGACGTTGAAAAGGACCAAATCATTGAAATGGCCTGCCTTATTACAGACTCTAACCTGAACATCCTGGCCGAGGTAATGTGAACGTGAACACTGGAGCCTCTGCTCGTCTCTCTGTCATACAAGTTCAAGGCAGCTGTTGTTTTTCTCCAGGGGCCAAACGTGATCATTAAGCAGCCCGACGAGCTACTGGAAGGGATGTCAGAGTGGTGTAAAGAGCATCACGGAAAGGTAAGCCGGCGTTTGTTCAGGGGCTCGTACCAGTAAAGCAGAAATACAGATTGTTTTTCTACACGTCTGTCAAAAGTCTGTGCTGGAAAGCACCTCTGCAAGAAAACAAACTAATCTAGAATGCTAATGGGAACATGCAGCTCCTTACAACCACGGCCTTTAACCATAGCGTGAGCACGAATGTTCCCGGCTCCTACACTCTTATGAGTCTCTGAATCAGTCTCTTCTTATTCATCGTAGAGATTGTGCAGACATATGTTCTTTCTGCTGGTTGCACTGTGCCATTTGAATGCTCCCTGAGTCAAAAACACTGATACTAAATATAATATATATTAATTAATATATATTAATATATAAATCAAATTGAATTGAAGCTTTAACGTTAGTGTTTTGGTTGCTGCCGTGGTGGTCGTTCTGGAGTGACCCAGTGCAGATGAAAGGGCGGCGTGTGGTATTATGGGCTGTTACTCAAGCGTTCTTAGGAACTTATAAACTTTGTGTTCAATACACAAAAACCTTTACTGGCTAATTAGTGTCAATTAATAAAATCTAAAATGTTCACTCACCTAAACTTAAATGAAGGTTCTGGTTAGTGTAGCAAATCAAGTTTAATACTTGTCACATTACTGAAGTCATTTTTATGTTCCAGTTTCTCACAGGCTCATAGGTAACTGTACAGGTGAGACCTGCCGTTTGCCTGTAGGACAAATTCAGAACACGAAGGCTCTCCTTGAGATTCCAACTCTTAAACTTGCTTTGGTATTGTTTCACTGAAATTCTTGAGATTCAAAGAGATGTTGATGTGAATGAAGGTGGCCATCATTAGGCTGACAACGTAACACGAACCCATTAAAAACATTAACCTCTTACCTAAGGGTGGTCCTTAAGTTGACATAAGGTAAGTGGTGACCAGTGTACTGTGGGACGTGTCGTATCTCCCACAGTACACCAGACACTAGGGGTGCAACGATACACAAAATTCACGGTTCGGTTCGGTTCGATACTTTGGTGTCACGGTTCGATATTTTTTCGATACAAAAAAATGTTCATGCCTTTTTAATTTGTCATTTATTAAAATTATAAATATATATTTTAACTCAAAAGTACAGTTTTTAAATTTAACCCTAACCCTTGTGCGTGTTTTTTATTTTGACAGCGAATGCGCACCTGCGGACCACTTATGTGCAGCCCTGGTTATTTAGCTCGTCATATCGCAGCCACAGAAATTATTTTGTCCATGAAACCATAAAGCTGCACTTTCTTTTTGCCTTATAGTCTGATTTGTCATAACTTCTCCGTTTTGTGGTAAGCTTTTCTTTGGCTGTCACTTCTTCACCCTGACCTGTCTTATTTGGCTCAGCAGAACTGAAATGCTTTTACACACACACTCACATAAGCTCAGCGATTCTCTGCGCGATCAACCTCTCACATGTTTAAGCTGCGGGAGATTTCACTTGTCATGTTTGCATAGTAAGCTAACGATTAATAAGACGATGTCAGAGGAATTGGTGCACAAATTATCATCACTCACAGATCAGTGCTGTCGCTCTCTATACACAGTTCGCACGATTGCAAAGTGAAAGCAAAAAACAAGCGCAAATTCAAACGCGATTTCAATATGTCACATATTGACAGTGGCTCACCGATGCCAATGACATAATTACCCAGCTACATTTCTGAAAGAATGCAAAAGCATTGACATATATTTTTCCTACAATAGCCCGACGGGCAGGGCAGAGATAGATTTTGGTAGCCCGACTGGAAAAAATCGCTAGCCCCAGGACGTTGGACTAGCGATATTGCGAGCCCTGTATCTGATTGAGGAATCGCTCATCTTTGGAAAAGAGAGTTTATTACAGAGAAATGTCTCTTTCCAAAATAAAAGCTATACTATCCGCTTCTTCTGGGCTATATTCTCAGCAGCATAAGGAGAATCAAGTGCTAACAGCTGTCTAAATGACTCTGCTAAAGTTAGTAGCATGCTTGTTGTTTTTGTCTTTGCACTAGGATGATGTCGGCGTAAATGTGCAGTCATATTCGTTGTGTTCCCACTAGTGCTTTCAGGTTAATCTCGTTGAAATGACCTTAACGCCACAACACGGCAAATCTCCGTTAACGAGCTACCGCCGATCGCTCTGTGCATGGGGCTAGACGGCCAACACGTTAACGAGCTAACTGCGCTAACACACTAGTTCCCACCCATGTAATTGAGCATTGCATGGCACATCCAACATACTCTTTTACCTTAGTCCATGACTCGCTTACCTTCAGGGTCATACGTCACATGAAGACCAAAATAGTTCCAAACGCCAGATCTGAATGAGGGTGGGGGAGGTGCCCTGCGCTCTTCCTTCTGTCTATGCTGTCTGTGTGGAGCGCTCAGTGGATCTGCGCTCAACAGTGCAGCCTAGGCGGAGTAGTCGAACGCAGATTCACTGAGCGCTCCACACAGACAGCATCGTCAGAAGGAAAATTGATAAAATAAATTAAAAATGTTGTATTGTTCGATACATATGCGTACCGAACCGAAAGCACTGTATCGAACAGTTCAATATCGATACGAATATCGTTGCACCCCTACCAGACACATTGTCATTTCAAAAATAACCTTTTTCCCCAATCGTGTGTTTAAGTCTGACGCCATTAGCTGTGTCCTGGTCCAAACTCTGTTTCAGGTCCCAAAGTCAAACAACACTGCAGCATCACTGAGAGTTGCAAACTGTCTAAATTCTTTCATCTGTAATAAAATGATCAGCGTTGCTGCTTTACCAGGTGTAACAATGAAGTTTAACATCCAGGCATCCATGAAAACAGAATTTATTACATTTAACGGTGTTAGACGTTAGCAGGAAGTTAGCTCGCTAGCTTCCATCTAAACATAATATAGCATGTTTTGACAGAGAGACTTCTGAAACAAATTCAAACGTACAGCTCTGCTGTCACTTCCAACATAAATGAGGACAGAAAACTAAACAGCAGTGACGTTTGTAGGGTTACTGAAGTTGGGCTAGCTGGTATATAATGATGTGCTACGTGATCGCTAGCGACACACCTATGTTAGCATAGCATAAACACAGTGAAGCTGGAGGATGAACGCTAACTTTTTTCTACTCGATAAAAGTTAACGTGAAGGTTCCTGATGGTTAGAGACAAATGCAGTCGCATGGCAGGATGCTGTAAACGGACCAAACTTCAGTCAGGAGAACAACTGAGATAATCCATCCACAATATGAGGTTAGTCATTAATATACTGCTGCATGGGCTGCAGTTACATTGTAAGGGTTTAAAAACTGAGAGGCCGGCAGTGATCATGGACTGTTTTTAGGGGCTTGTTCAGATTAAACAGAACAAGATACAAAACATTAAAACATGTTAAAAACACAACAGCCTTAGTAAACACAGAGTTGTTTGGACTGAAGCAGGGTTCATACGTCATCACTTAAGGACCAGGTTACTAGTGTATGAAATTTACTATCATTCAGGTGACAAAGTCCACATGCTTAACTCCAAGGTTTGACGTATCCAGACCCAAAACAAAATCTTCTGATCCTCTGTAGCTCTTAAAATGAGATAAATGCAGCTTTGCACAAGAGCATGACATGTGACACCATGTCAGACTAACGTTAAACCAGAATGTAGACAGTGTGTGAAGTCTCCCTTTGCTGCTTCAGTAGAGGTTAAGTAGCACCAGGTGCTGCTAATCAATGGACTGATTAATCAGAAGTTTTGACAATTTGCTGGTCTGGACATCAGCAATGATCTTACAGAAACAGTTGGTGCGACCCGTCAAATCATTTAAAGTTCATCATTTTACAGTGAGAAAGATTCAGGGAGGTGCAGACAGTTACCAATCTTCCCAGAAGTTAATGTTATTGTAACCTCAGGTTGTGCAACACTGAGAGAAAACCCAGACACAGCAGTTCAGATTTTAGTATTTGTGCTCACGCCTGCTTTTCCTTTCCACTTTACTGTTGTCTTGTTTGAACGATGAGGCGTGTTTTAAAGTGAAGTAACAAAGTCTGTTGGTGTAATTGTGTCTTAGTCAGGACTGACCCAGGCTGTACGGGACAGTAAAATCACCCTGGAACAAGCAGAGTATGAGTTCCTGTCCTTCGTCAGACAGCACACACCACCTGGACAATGTCCCCTCGCTGGTAAACTCTTTCTGTTCATGTCCTCAGAACCAAGACCTGGGCACAAAGTTATGATTCTGCATGTCTGTCTGTGGTACTGTGTGGGTGGCTGGATTATGCCTAGCATCTCTGTAATGACTCTCCGGTGAAGCTACAGGAGCTCGAGGAGAGCCAATCGTCAGCTTAGCTTTCCTAATTTTCCGAGGTTTCCATTTGAGTTGCTGTGATTACTCTAATTAGATCGGGGTGGGGAACTCCAGGCCTCGAGCACCTGCAGGTTTTAGATCTCACCCTGGATCAAATGTTCATCACCAGGCCTCTGGAGAACTTGAAGACATGTCGAGGAGGTCATTTAGCCATTTAACCTGCAGGACACCGGCCCTGGAGGCCTGGAGCTCCCCACCCTGTGTTGGATAATGCACAGTGAGCTCATGAAAGTGATTAACATGCTGAGTGTGAAAGGACTGAGTCAGGTGTCAGTGTAGGTGATCTGTTTCTTCTGCTTCACCCTCCTCATACTGGACTCAAAGCTCAGACTATCCTGTAGATCAGGGCTGCCCAATCCCAGTCCTCGAGAGCTACTATCCTGCAGCTTTTAGATGCATCCCTACTCCAACACAGCTGAATCAAATGGTTTGATTACCTCTCCAGCATGCCATCATGTTTGGCAAAGGCCTGATAACAAGCCATTCATTTGATTCGGGTGTGTGGGAACAAGGATGCATCTAAAAGCTGCAGGACGGTAGCTCTCGAGGACCGGGATTGGGCACCCCTGCTGTAGATCATGTGTGTAACAGCAGCACATGTGCTGGTGTCAGTGATTGGATTGAGGAGTCATGCTTGTGATTGGTTGTTCTACAGGTAACTCTGTGCATGCAGATAAGAGGTTCCTGGACAAGTATATGCCACAGTTCATGTACCACCTTCACTACAGAATCATCGACGTGAGCACCATCAAGGAGCTTAGCAGGCAGGTGACTTTAGGAGATGTAAACTGTGAGAGTTGTTGCAGCCAGGCCGCTTTGCATGAGCTGACCTCAGAATAATCTGGCATCTTCATGTGGAGAGCCACTGTTAAACACTGTTGGTCACAGGGAGTGTGGGTGGGGGGACTACACCCATAAACATGAATGTATATTATGTCTAATTTCCATTTCCTAATCAAACCCTTTATAGAAATGAATGGCCACAGATTCATGGCTCAGGTATTTTAGAGTTTACAGTGTTTGCCAGAGACAAGCTGCACTCACTCACTTGGTTTCTCACTTTGATGTGAACTAAAGTTGTGAGAACCGTTTACTGGAGTTAATGCACCGCTGCACATCATAGCAAAGAAAAGGTTGCATGGCATTTTCATCTGCATGCTGCCCATACATGAAAATCATAAATGTATCAGTACGATTGACTTTCTTTCTACAAACACTTTCAGACGCTGGTTTCCAGAAGAATACAAAATGGTGCCTCACAAGAAAGCAACACACAGGTAAATAAAAAGAAAGCTGCATCAACATATATATGAAACGGCTGATGAGCTTCAGTTTTATTTATACAGCATCAAAACCTAACAACAGTCGCCTCAAGGTGCTTTAGATTGTAAGGTAGGCCCTACAGTAATACAGAGAACCCCAACAATCAGAAAACAGTTGACCTCGGGAAGGAAAAACTCCTTTTTAACAGGAAGAAACCTTCAGCAGAACCTCTGGTTGGGGGTGAGGCGACGAAGACAGGATAAAGACATGCTGTGGGAAGAGAGCCAGAGATTAATAACAAGTGTGATTCAGTGCAGAGAGGTCTGTTAACACATAGTGAAGAAGAAGAAACACCCAGTGCATCATGGGAATCCCCCGGCAGCCTACACCTGTTGCAGCATAACTAAGGGAGGATTCAGGGTCACCTGGTCCAGCCCTAACTATATGCTTTAACAAAAAGGAAAGTTTTAAGCCTAATCTTAAAAGTAGAGATAGTGTCTGTCTCCTGAATCCAAACTGGAAGCTGGTTCCACAGAAGAGGGGCCTGAAAACTGAAGGCTCTGCCTCCCATTCTACTTTTAAATACTCTAGGAACAACAAGTAGGCCTGCAGTGTCAAAGCATGACCTCTCTATAAGAGAGTGAAGATTGCACCTGATTATTGAAGATCTTGGATGAGATGTTGAACAGAATAGTGTACCGCCAACCTTTCTCTTCCTCAGGGTGATAAGGAGTTGAACCCCCCTGGTGTAAAGCTAGTTACACAGATGCTGTATTGGGTTTAGCTTGGTCCTGCTGAAATATGGAAATATGAAAAAAGACATTGTGGGAGCGTATGCTGCTCTAAAACCTGTACAGTGAGGGGAAAAGTATGTGATCCCCTGTTAAGGTTGCACACTTCCTGAACTCAGCAGTCAAACAAAGAAACAAAGCACAGAGGACTTTCACATTTCTACCACAGGTGCATCTGTGAGGAGGGTGAGGGGTACCACTGGTGTTCATTCTTAATGAGGACAATAAAGACACGTCCTCATAAGGACAGAGATTCATATTGCTGTGTGGTAATTATGAAATGCATCTTGGGCCATAGTGATGAAGGAACATGGACATAATGAAACTTGTAGTGAAACAAAGTTTCTATGGGGAAGCAACCTCGTGCGTTACTTGTAGAAAAGTGTGGACTATTGCACAGTCCGAAAATGTAAAAGGCCTCCACAGCCTAATCTTCAGACTTTGCTGTTCATATCGCTTTTTTAGACATGAAGCTGACATTCTGATAGGTTAATGGAAAGTTCATGTTTTTTTAAATCTTCCACCATAAATATAAGTTTAAACAAACACGCAGCCTGAGCTCAGGGCGTGGAGCTGAGCTTTTAGGTGAGAGCCACCTTTGCAGAATCTTGTTTTAATCCTGGAACGAAGTGTGCATGTGGAGGCGAATGTAGAAATATCCACGATGGTGAAGTTAAAATGGAGCTTTTCTTCTTTAGAGCGTTGGAGGACATCCGGGAGAGCATCAAGGAGCTGCAGTACTACAGAGCCAACATCTTCAAAGCATCAGAGAAGAATTGCACGATTGTTGAAAATGGAGGCAGCAGTATGAGTTAGCACATAGAATGAGAATATAGTCTTCAGTGTTATTATTGTATTGCCATCGGTTTTTGTTTGTGCACTTGCGAATGCTCAATAATCCTTTGTTAGAATATTGTTAGTGGTAAATTTAAAGGTTTCATTGAAAGAAGCAAGCAGCAGTTGGTTTTTTGTTTTTCTTTTCAGGAGAAATCCTTTTGTCCAGGTTCATGATAGTGATCTTTGGTAGATTGGATTTTTGTGTTGATTGAGACAGTGTCTGATGCAATTTTCAATTGTTCTTGTTTTGAAAGTGAAACCAAATAAACCTGGTTGTGCCTGTGGAAAAACTTCTTGTTTCCTTACTGTCATGTACCACATGATGCAGGAAATGGGAGCAACTATAACAGAAAATACCCAAATATTTGTTTATCCATTTCAAGTTCTTTATTTTCAATGTGCTGTGGTGTAGATAACTGGAAATGCAGTGCAATGACATGTTGGAATATTTAACATCTAAGTGAAGTGACGGACGTGAATGTTCCAAACTCAAACGTCTTCATACTGTTACATTTCTAACAGTACAGTAGTTTTATTTTCTGATCATATGTTTGGAGCCTTTATTGGACAGTGGCAGCAAAGGGCCACTCTGGGTCAGATTCAAATCCAGCCCATGTAGCATGTGGTCTGCTTACTGAGCTAAACTGGCACCCATATAGCAGGTTTGAAAAGTTGTCATTGCTGACTGGTGACGTGGGTTCAACATAAATGGAAATGATGTGTTACTTGTTTGAGTCAGTAAGTCAAAGCTCATACACAATATGCAAAGAATGTACAGCAGGGTGGTGTTAGCTTAGAGTACAACTTGGTTTAAACTGATTTAGACGAAGTGCAATGTCTTTGAAAGTGTAAGAGAATCTTTTGAATAAATGGAAAATGCTTCAAATCAAGACCAGTAAGTTACCTGACTTTAAATTCAGTGCACAGTATGTATTATTATATAAACCTGTGATGTTTGACAGCCATTGCATTGCAATCCATTGTAGCAGCTCTGCCATGAATTCTTTACATTTTAGTTTTTTGTTGACATTTTAAAATGTTCATTTTGTGTTTATTTTCGAGGTAATATCAAAATCCTTCAAAGACAGCAATCTTATCAATGCCTCTAAGGCTTTATTTGTTACGTTACATTGTAGCCATTCTCTTTGGTCTTGTCCAAAGGACATTGTTCCAGCGTGGTGTTTTTTACCACCTGTCATACTGGGTTTGGTTTGCCAAGCTGCAGTTTTCTTCTGTATAACCCCCTGCCAGATTGATGGGTAGCAGAAATTGCTTCTCTAAGATCATTGTTGATGTCCAGACCAACAAACTGCCAGAGTATTGACTCAAATACTTTGTTATTAGTGATGGGATTTCCAGCTCTTTTTAGAGAACTGGCTCTTTCGGCTCCCAACCCGCTCTTCAGGTTGTTTTGTTGCTTTAATTAATTTATTAACAACAATACAAAATTATGGACAAAAGGAATTACTAATGTAAAAGAAAACCTGTGGTTTTAGTTATATATGTTTATATATAAATATATACGGTGGCCCCTAGAGACAAAGCACGTACAAACTCCAAAACACATTTCTAGCATTAACTGAACTTCCAAAGCAGAGCTACTAGATCACTTAAAATTGAAAACATATGTGTATTGTTTGTGTATTTATACACAGGCACTCATATATATTCAAATAATTTAAAAAATGTTCATTTACCTGTTACTACCACACACCAAATCCGGTCGTTGGTACTTCCTGGCTTGTGTAGCCACGAGGTAACAAAAGCCCAACACTGCCCCCTAGCATCCTGGAGCACTTCTGTTGTCTTTTGTACGTGTTTTGGAGTTTTTAAGTGTTTTGTCTCTAGGGGCCACCGTAAATATACTTTTATTTATTCACTCCACAAAAAATGTAATAAATAAATCATATAATACAAAAACCAACTATTTACATTTTAACTTTTAACTATTTAAATTTTCATCTTTTTCCTTTTGAACAAATTTAAAGTGAAACAACACAGAACACTGCAAACCACAACACAATTAAATATAAATTAAAAATATGAAAACAAAAAGAACATGCATATTCTCTGTCATATGGGCCTGCATGAATAAACTTTCTGAATCCTTTATCATCTGCAACTGAAAATAGTTGTGGATGATTACTATACCTTTCTAATGTGATGTTGTTGTCCCTGCTCTCTTTCTCTCTCTCTCCCTCCCGCTCTGTTCCTGTGCTACTGCGAGTGTAACTACCGCCCCTCCCCCCACTGCTGCTGAGCGTAAGCACAAGGCTCGCGTGCGGAGTGAAGCGGAAAAAAGTGCGAGAGAGAGGGTGAGAGAAAGGAAAAAAACAAACAAACCCCACGGCTCCCAATAAGGAGTTGGCTCGCGTCGTTCACTTCAAAGAGTCGGCTCTGAGAGCCGTTTCGTTCGCGTCCGACACATCACTATTTGGTATGAAGATGCACAGTAAAGAAGGTCAGACATCAACTAGGGAGAAAGTAGAAGGACAAACAAAGCCATATTGTCATTCTCTATGTAGCAGGTTTATCAGAGAAACTCAGGAGAGTCTTCTCCAAGCACAACATCCCAGTGTACTTCAGACCAAACAACACACTCAGACACCAACTGAGTGGAGGATGATTTTGGAGTGGGATCAGGGTGTAGCCACACAAATATACTACGTCAACCTCCTAAAAGCTTGGTGAAGGAAAGACACGAGTTAGGGCCCAAGGTGCCAAATTCAACTATTCCTGCCTCACTCTATTGCAATAGGGTTGGTAGATGCAGATGTGTCCTTCCCCTGCCTGGACACTCCACACTCAAAGAGCACCATTTTGAAATGTGTTACCTATAGTTTAGCTGCATTTAGTGTACTTCCTGGGTAAAGTCCACTCCGGAGTACCAAAATTGACTGATGTCGCATTCTTATGGAAAACTTGAGTTTTGCTGGAGCATTTATGTGCTTTGATATTCCTGCTTGACTTAATCTCTCTTATCTCGGTTTACTTCATATTGGCAGATGTTCCTTTCATTTAATTGGTTGTGGCAACTACTGTCTCTGTGTATTTTAATGGCCTTTTAAAATTAAATAATACACAGACTCAGGCCAGCTGATAGAAATGTGAAGTTATTGAGTTTCCCAAATGAATACATTGACATGAACAGCCAGTGAGTGGAGCTATTTTCACTTCACCTGGCTCCCTGGGTATGCCATGAATCAAAGTGTTGTGAACATACTGCCTACGGCTCAACTGATTCAGTAACTGTCCCTGCTCATTTCATTGGAAGAGACAGACAAACAATGAAGGCTGTACAGCTCGAGTTCATGACACCATCACAAGGTCGGAGGCTGCACGTGTCAAAACCCTAACGAAGAAGGACAGCCTGTGTGGCTGTGCAAACATGTATGCTGCCACTCTAGCTGACTTTGCACTTTAATAAAGTAGATGCAAAAGTTAATCAGTAAAAGAATGTAACAACCTTTATTACTGCTTTATTTGCCTTCACTTTTACCTCCAGTTACAACTTTATTGTGCCTACTGTCAGTCAGCTCATCGGAAAATCAAGGTAGTGAACATCAGATTAGGGCTGTGCGATATGTCCAAAATCTCATATCCCGATATAAGACATCTATCGTCCAATAACGATATAAATCACAGAAAATTAACATTTTCTGTAAATTCTGTGAATCTCGGGCAGCTCGACTTGCCTGAAGTGTTTCCAGCTGCGCGTCATGTAGCTGGAGTCGAGTGTTTTAACCGATGCATGAAACGACACATTTTTAGACATAAGTTGTAACGGCGCCGTTTTCTTTGTGAGTATTTATTACACGGCGTGCTGTGGGGAAAAGCTTGTTTTAAGTTTGAGTCTAAGCTTTATTTTTTAGCACCTGGCGGCTCTTTTTTACTTCTCATCCGTAAACACTCTGCATCTTTCACGTGATTCAGTTTATTTTGAAAAGTCTCAACAGGATCTTGAGCTTTATTGTGAAAGGTTTATGTGGAAAATAAACAAGCAGACACGCGGTGGTTTTACCGTTGTTGTTGAAAGAAATTAAGAAATGAATATAGCCGCTACAATGACCATCAGAACCATGAAAAAAATATTGCCGTAAACAGTTTATTTTGCGACACCACGAAACAAACGACAGCGTAAAATGAAACGATAGATGTTTTTATATCGTCATCCGATATATATCGTTATATCGAACAGACCTACATCAGATTGCCCCGATGCATCCGTGGCAGTGTGTATGACAGGTAAAAACATGGGTTGTACAAATGTGTGTGAGTGCTTTGTCTGTTCATTACTTACATATTAAAAATACTATACTTACTAGGCCTAAGAATCACCACCTTAAGCGTGAATGATGCGGTGAATACTTTTTAGAAAAGACTAGTAGTTTTCTACATCAGTAGCATTTTAACCACACAAAGCACTTCACAATACAAGCCAACAGAGTTTTGTGTGGCAGAAGTTGTGAAAAGGTGGAGCTGAAACACTACGAGAGAAAAAGAACCAAAAAACTCAAATGAGCTGACATGTTAGCTGTGAGGGCTGCTGCTGCACTTTAAACAGTAGTAGCAGCAACAACAAACAACTAGCAGCAAGCCCTCGCTCTCACAGCAGGCTGCTATTAGCACCACCTGTAGAGAAGTGGGGGGGGCGTCCCAAAAAGAGTGAGGAGGTGACCGAAATAAATAGGAGGGACATAATTAGGAAGGGAGAGATTCAAGTCAAATAAATTGCTACTTTGACCATGAGCCACTCCTAGTAGCTAAAGTGTAGCTTTTAACTGTCACATGCTGCAGTGCAGTGCAACTAAGGACCGACCCTAAAAAATCTTGGCCCTAAAAGTCTAAAAAATATGATGTCCAACCCCAGATTTCGTATTTGATAAGGTTTGTAGTCAGACCTTGATCAGGTGACCGTGAATCCTTCTTTAGTTACGTTGCAATAGCCGTAGACTGCTGCGGGCTTCCCATGTTCACTCACTTTCCCCTATACCTGTTCA